TCTTTCATGGAACTTAAAAGACATTTCCACATATTACTACAGTGAAAGGAAATGTGTGATAAATGAAAGGCACAGAACTTAAATGCAATAAAAATTGGTAAAAAGGAGTGATCCCTTCCCCTCAGGTCATCATGAAAGGCTTTCTTAAGAACTCGAAAAAGGAGCTGAGCTTGAAAGGAGGGGTAGAATTTCCATAGGTGGAGACAGGTGAATAGGAGCTCTACAAATGGCAAGAGCAGCAGAGGCAGGGCTGTGATGGAGATCTGGCTATGGCAACCAAGGCCCTTAGGCTGGAGTTGAGAGGCTCTATGTGGAATCCAGAAACAATCCAGAAAGGTGGTGGGAACAAACTGTGGAAGACTTTGAATGCTGGTGAACAAAGATGAGCCCAATATTGTGAGCACTGGCGATGCTCTGCAAGAGAGTGGTGTGATGAAGGAAGTGTATGAGGCAAATTAAGTGTATTAGGAAGATAGTGCCTGTAATGGACCAAAATGGGGAAACACTAAAGACAGAGTCCAATCATAGAATTAATTGAATTATTTAGGAGGAAGGTTATCATGGTGTGAAATGCTCATAGAAGGAAACATCACAGAGTGGAATTTGGTGGAGAGACAAGAGTAGGAAGCCAAAGAAAATTCTCTGGGATTTTTTAATGAGGATCAACAGCATCAATTAACAAACTGGTAAGGAAGGGTGTGATAAGAACGGTAGGCAAGTACTAGGAGAGTAGAAATGTTCAAACAGAAACTTACAGGGTCCTTCATGTCTGCTATTTAGCTCTTACACTTTCTCTTTTACCACTTCATCTTTCACATACTTTGTTCCATAAAACCCCCCAGGGTACGGCATTGAGGAGGGAATGTTATTTCCTTTCCTCTAAAGTTGGACTCCTTCCTCCACACAGTAGATAGTTGATCCTAATCTCAGCCCCAACTTGATCCCTAGAACAGGCATCTTTATGCACTTTACAAACTGTACACCATCTTTCGTGGTCATGAATGACCCAAATATGAGATTGAGGGAATCTGTGGGGATCACTCCCGTGTGAGGCCCCTAGGAAACGGGCCTCGCCATACGGTGAGCTTGAGCCCGGACACAGATCCCTGGTTGGGGGAGTCGAGCTGAGGGAAAGCAGGAACCAAGAGAGGAGCTATATGTTATTCAAAATAATTAACAAACATTACTTTATGGATATGAGGACATGGGAAGCATTGTGACCACTTTCGGCTCCTTATGGTTTATTGCTTAATTGTGTTCATTTTGGACCCTTGTTACCTTCATTGTAAAATATTAACTTAAGTATTTACACTTGGTATCTTACTTACCTAACTTACTGGGTGTAACTGTAGCTTACTTACCATAGCTTACAGGGCGTGACTGTAACTTACTTTCCTTGACCTATTGGGCGTAACCTACTTACTGGGCGTAACCTACTTACTGGACTTAACTTAGTGGGCGTAACTTAGTGGGCGTAACTTGCTTACTGTAACTTAAGTACGTTGATCTGGTGTAAACAACTTTGACTTCAGAAAGGTATATAATGAAACGTATTGCAAAAATAAAACGGCTGCTTGGACATAGCCTAAGCCAGCCCTCCAGACTCCGCTTTCCTTTATTCTTTCACTTCCACGCACTGTCTCCCTCAGGTTGAACGAGACATCTACGTTGGCGGCCTCGGGGATTCCTGCAGGTTGGTAGTCCCCCGGCAGACGTGCCGGACCCCAACATGAGATGGAGCAGAAATTGTAATGCTATTTTCGTATAATAGACTTTTGAATCACAATTATTAGCTTCTGACCTTGCATCCAACCTTGGCTAAATTCATCTGTCATTTAGAAGTAGACTTGTTCCCATAAAGAAAGACTGAATTACACAAGAAGACTTATCTTTCAAGGAAGGGAAGGGTGATTCATTGCCTCAAAATTTAGTTTCATTATGTATTATGTTAATATATATTATCTAAATTAGTAGCACTAATTCAGGAGAGCCGCCTGAACAAACACCTCCGGGTCATTGGCACAGAACTGCACGATGAGGGGCTGGTCCTCGAGGCACACCTCGCAGTACAGGTTCTCCTTCCGGTAGCTGGTGTCACGGACAAAGACTTGGGCGTGTAGCATGGGCGTGTAGCAGAGCTGTGCCCCGTGGCGCCGGCTCAGCAGCCTTCAGGCCAGCTCACTCTGGTCCACCATGGGGGCCACCACGTGGCGGGCCCCCGGAAGGGTGTGACTCCAGAACTCAAAGTCCTGCAGCTTTGGCATCGTCTCCAGGCACTCAAGTCCCCCGCTGTGTCCATCGCCGCCTTTGGCTCCAGCCACAGCTTTGGCCAGCCGCCTGTGTCCCGGGCCCGCCCAGCTCAGGCCTCGCCGACGCCCAGATCCCCTGCTGCGCTCGGGCCTCCGGGACTGCCAGCACTGCTCCGGGGCCACAGCCAGGCCCAGGGTTCCGCGCTGCCCTTCATTCCTTTTCATGACTAAATAATATTCCATGTGCAGATAACCTACATTTCCTTTTTCCATTCATCAGTTGAACATTTAGCTTGTTTCCACAATTTGGCTACTGTGAATTGTTCTGTGATAAACATTCATGAACAAGGTTTTATGTGAACTTATATTTTAATTTCATTTGAGTATTTACCTAGGAATAGAATTACTTGGTACTGTGGCAACCAGGTTTAACCTTTTGAGGAACTGCTAGACCATTTTCCAAAGTAGCTGCATCATTTTACATTCTTATCAGCAATGGATAGGGTTTTGATTTCTCCACATCCTTGCTAACACTTCTTATTGTCCATGTTTCTTTTATTCTAGTCATTCTAGAGGTAAGAAGTGGGTTTTCCTTGTGCTTTTGATTTGCATTTCTCTAGTAACTAATGGTATTGTGCATTTCCCTTCATATGCTTATTGGCCATTTGTTTACTCTCTTTGATGAAATGTCTATTCAAGTCCTTTGCTCATTTTAAAATTAGGTTGCCAGTCTGTTGTTGAATTGATAGTGTTTATTTTATTTTATTTTATTTTATTTTTTTGATGCACAAAAGTGTTTAATTTTTATGAAGTCCAATTTAACTATTTTTGGTGTTATTGTTGATTATGGTCTTGTAATCATATCTAAGAAATCACTGCTAAATCCAAGATTAGAAACATTTATCCCTATGTTTTCTCCTAAGAAACCAGGGTTTTATTGTTTTATATACAGTAGTTTTTATAGTTTTAGCTCTTGTACTTAAATTTCTGATTTATTTTGATTTCTTAAAATATGGTGTGAGATAGGGATCAAATTCATTGTTTATATATGAATATCCAATTATCCTGGCACATTTATTGAGACTATTTTTTGCCACTGAATAATCTTGGCATCCTTGTCAAAAATCAGTTGACCACAGATGTGTGGAATTTATTCTGGACTTTCAATTCTATTTACATTGGTCTCTTTGTCTATCCATATGACAGTAATACTGTCTGTGTGTGTGTGTGTGTGTGTGTGTGTGTGTGTTTTAACTATACTTTTGTAGTAAGTTTTGGAATAGGAAAGTCTTAGCTTCAATTTTGTTCTTTTTCAAGATTTTTTGGCAACTATGGGTCTGTTGCAACTCAATGTAAATTTTAGAATCATTTGTATTTCTGCAATAGCAACAAAAAGCTGTTGGGATTTTGGTGGAACTGCATTGCATCTGTAGATCACCTTGAGGAATACTGCTATCTTTACAATATTACATCTTTCAGTCCATGAATACAGAATGTCTTTGCATCTATTTACATATTCTTGAATTTCTTTCAGCCATGCTTTCTTTGTTCAGTGTACAAGTTTTGCACCTTCTTGGTGAAATTTATTCTAAAATATTTTATTCCTTTTGATGCTATTATAAATGGAACTGTTTCCTTAATTTTTTTGTGGGTTGTTTATTGCTAGTGTACAGAAATATCATTGATTTTTATCTATTAATCCTATATCATGTGAAACTGCTAAATTCATGTATTAGCTTTAATAGTTTTAAATAAATTCTAAAGAATGTTTCTACACATAAGTCCATGCCGTCTGTGAATAAAGTTTTACTTCTTCCTTTCTAAGTTAGATACTTTTTACTTCTTCTTCTTGTCTATTTTCTCTGGCTAGAACTTTCAGTTTAATGTTAAATGGAAATGGCAAAAGCAAGGATCCATGTCTTGTTCCTGATCTTAGAGAGAAAGCTCTAAGCCTTTCACCATTGAATATGATGTTAGCTATACAATTTTTATAAACCAAATACTTTTTACTCTCACCTACTCCCCTTTATGTATTTTGTCATGTTTTATTCAGCTTGGTTTACACAAGCTTAACTTCTATCTGTCCTTCCTCAGTTCTGAAAGCCTACTAAAAGCTTCTGTGGGGGAACAGGGTAGAGAAATGAAGCTATGAATATTCCCAGAAAATCATCAGGGAGTCAGGTTATTTGTTTGCTGTTTTTCTTCTAAACAAACTGTGAACTATTAAAAAGTATGTCATTGTCTAAATACCACAAACATAACTTCAAGAAATTGTGATGAACAAAAGTAAAGAAGAGAAAATTGGGGAAAAAAGAAAAAAAGCAAGGACAAAGAATCACAGAGCTATTTGCAACTAAAGGTATTCACTTCATAATTTTTTCAATATTTCATTGATCTGCTTTTGGACTTACCAAATAAATTTTATAATCCCTAAAGTGAAAAACAATAACTTTTATTATATTTTTCTCTACTCTCCTCTCTTTCTCTCTAAGATCTATATTTTTCTCTACTCTCTTTCTCTTTCTTTCTAAGATCAGGAACAAGACATGGATCCTTGCTTTATCTCACTCATCTCAAACACATACATACACACATACGTACACACTGGCACATAACAATCGGTAAGGTGTAGCAAACTTTGGATGTGTATAGGAGTTTACTTTCTAACATAATCACTTGAGAAACTGAATACCTCTCTTCCTGGAAACATTATGAGAAAAATATTAGACGATTGAAGTATTGAGAACTCACCTCTCACATAAACAGTTGTTGAGTGGCTTTCAATGAGATGAAATGAAAAATGTGCAGAACAGCGGTATAACCCACTGTCACTAGGAAGCACTTGTTCAAAATGTAAAATAAAATATGAAATGTTCTTTTCTTCTTTCCAACTTGTGTGTCGCTGAAGTCCATCTTCAAGTGGTAAACATTTTGTTCCATTGAGCTTGCACCAAGTCACATGAGGCCTGTGAGCACAGTATTTCACAGGGCATTGCAGGTTAAAGGGTTTTCCTGCTAAGACCGAGTATGCAGATTGTCTCTTTATGTAAAGCTGTACATCACATGATTCTGTCCCTAAAAGATTTTAAAAAAACTAAAATCAAATATGTTCTTCTGGAGGGACCATATATATGTGACTTCAATAGTGCTCAAACATTATATGGTAATTTTCAAAAACACTCCAAATTCCTAATAATGAAGCCTCACTGGCAGAGTGTCTCATACATAGCAGGCACATAATAAGTATGTGTTTAAAAATGAAATAAATCATTTAATCCTCTGTCTCAGTCTGTTTTCTGCTGCTATAACAGAATAACTGAGATTGGATAATTTGTGAACCACAGAAGTTTGATTTGGCTCATAGCTCTGTAGGCTGGGAAGTCCAAGAGCATGGTGCCAACATCTAGCAAAGGCCTTTGTGCTGCATTATCTCATGGCAGAAAGCAGAAGGTGGAAGGGAGCACACAAGACAGAGAAAAATGGGGGCCAAAATTCATCCTTTTATCAGTAGCCCACTCCCATGATAACTAATCCATTCCTACAATAAGGGCATTAGTACATTTATAACCTACTCATCTCATAATACTGCTACAATGGCAATAAAATTTCAACACGAATTTTGGAGGGGACATTCAAACCATAAAATTCTGTCCCTGATCCCCCAAAACTCATGTTCTTTTCACATACAGAGTACATTCATTTTATCTCAATAGCCTCAAAAGTTTTAATTTGTTCCAGCATCAACTCAAAAGCCCCAAATTCAGTCTTATCTAAATTAGATATGGGTGAGATTCAAGGCATGATTCACTGTGAGGCAGATTCCCTACAACTATGATCCTGTGAAATCAAAACTAGTGATCTACTTCCAAAATACATTGGCAGGACAGATATAAGACAGATATTCCCATTCCAAAAGGGAGAAATAGGCAACAATGAGAAAGTAACAGGTTCCGAGTAAGTCCAAAACCCAACAGAGAAATAAAATGGCTTTGCCGGGCTTAGTTGATGCTTCAGCTCTCACAAGTTGGAGACTCATCCCTGCAGCTCTCCCAGGCTAATGCTTCAGGCTAGTAGCTCTACATTTCTGGGGTCTCAGTGGCAGTCCACTGCCATGGCTCCACTAGGCATTGCCATGGGAGCGGAATTCCTGGGCCCTCAGGCTGCCCACTACATCTTTTGAACACAGAGGTAGTTGTGGCCCACACCTCTTGCATTCTGCTAGCCTGCACACTTATCAAGGGAGTGCCACCAAGTCTTACCAACTGCACATTATGGAGTAGTGGGTTGAACTGCACCTGGGCTCACTTGAGCCATGGCTGGAGCAGCCAAGGAGCACTGTGCTGGATTTCAGAGAGCAAAAACCTGAGGCAGATCTGGGCAGCAAGTCTGTAAAGGGCACTCCAGTTTCCCCTAAAACCAATTTGCCCTCTGAGCTCTGAGCCTGTGATGAAATGCGCAGCCTCAAAGATCTTTGAAATGACTTCAGGGCCTTTTTCTCAATATCTTAAATAGTATTCCACTACCTTCTAGCCATATTAGTCTCCTTAACAATGGTCTCTAGGCCATACCCTTAGTAGTTTCTCCCAAACATGCCTTTTCCTGTTTTATACAGCTAGGCTGTGAATTTTCCAAATCTGTCTATTCTGCTGCTCTTTTAATGATAAACACCATTTTTAAGTCGTTTTTTCCCCTCTTGCCTCTTACTGTATGCAGTTAAAAGTAGCCACACAGCAGCCTGAATGCTTTGCTGCTTAGATACTTCTTCCACCAAATATCCTAAATTATTGCTCTTAATTTCTGCTTCCCATAAAGTCCTAAGATGTAGATATACTTCCACCAAGTTCTTGGCAACTGTGTAACAAGGATGGCCTTTACTCCAGTTTCCAATGACTTGTTTCTCATTTCCCTTTAGTTATGCACTTTGTGTTGACTGATATGTATCTTTTGTTTTCCAGTAAAGATAAGGCTAAACACATTATCCTAAAAGTATTTTCTTTTAAATTATTTTTTTCTCCACTCTTATAGATCTTTCTTAGCCTTTCCTTCTATGTTTGCAACTACGCTTTCTCTTATCAATCTGTCTAATCCATCTCCTTCACTAATTGATTTCACTCATCCTCATGCTTTCTTCTAAATAGAGTTAGAGTATCATACAGTATAATGGCATAGGCATAACTGAGATATAGCCAAAACTCTCTTTTAAATACAAAGACAGCTAAAGGCCTTGCCTGTGATCACAGAGCTTGTCAGATGTTGAACCAAGGAGCAGCTTTTGACCCTGAGTTTCACATACTTGTCTATCCAGAACAAGGTTTCACCTTATTTTGACATTCTTGCCAGCACAGATATTCTCACTTTATCTATTTCCTCATACCTAATATACCTTCACTCACAGCCTATTTAAAAACCCTTCCTGCTCTCATCTCATTCATCCCTGCTCAGAATAATAGAAACTTAAATTTCCAGGAATCAGAGTGAGACAAAGGACCCGCAGAAAACTTTTAGAACATCTTAATTATTTAATTAATTAATTTATGATTGCTTTGAGACCTCAAACAAGTTCACTTTAAGACTTCTTGATTCAGTTGCTTCCAAAAATGCAGAACTAAAGTGAAAGCAAGCAGAAAGGTAAGTAATAAGGATGAGATTTTCAAAAAAATGAGGAGAAAGGGTAAAATATTTTACCAAAAGGAAATGCACCTGAATGTGGTTAGACCTATGACAAAAAAGTAAGGAGGCCAGAGGCAGAAAGCCCAAGTGAAACTCTTGTTTCCAGAAGTCAGTTCCTCTCCCTGAAGTTAATAGACTCCCTCAGCCTCCTAACTTCCCTTTTCATTTTCTTGGATAAGTCAATAATAGATTGTGGAGCCTACAAGTCTGTGCTAGAACTATCAAAAACAATGAGATGGTTATAAGCAAAGACCTTTTACCCGCAAAGAGTTTACCATTTACTTGGTAAAGCAGGAGCAGCTAACAATGAGGGCACCTTTCTATCATCAATTTACTATATACTGCTCTTTATTTCTTTCAGTTTACCTGAGCTGAAAGGAAGGCTCCTATGCTGGTTGTTAGGAAGCCCAGGAATAAATCAGACAGGATGTCTGCATTTGTGGAGCTGCTTCTAATGCGAAATAAAAATGAATGACAATTGAGAGAGTGGCATAACACTATAAAGAGGTACAAACAAGGCCGGTCACGGTGGCTCATGCCTGTAATCTCAGCACTTAGGGAGGCCGAGGTGGGCGGATCATCTGCGGTCAGGAGTTTAAGACAAGATTGGCCAAGATGGTGAAACCCTGTTTTTACTAAAAATACAAAAATTAGCCGGGCGTGGTGGTGGTGGGCCTTCTAATCTCAGCTACTTGGGAGGCTGAGGCAGGAGAATCGCTTCAACCTGGGCGGCGGAGGCAACAATGACTGGAGATCCTGCGACTGCACTCCAGCCTGGGCGACGGAGTAAGGCTCTTTGTAAAAAAAAAAAAAAAAAAAAAAAAAAAAAAAAAAAAAAGGTACAAACAACTTTGCATCTTTGCATGGGTGTGCAGAAGGTTAACTTCATGGAAAGGCTAGACTTGAGCTGAACCTGGGTGAATGAGTAGCCCTTTGGCAATCAGAGCAGTGCATGGGACAGGGGAAGTGTTTTAAGAGTGAGGAAATAGAACGGGAAAGTCTTAGAGACCAGGAATCTTATGAATGATTTAGATCATTGATACACTGCTGGATCATGGTTTTCTGACACAGTGACATGGGACCACTGGTTATTCCAGAATAAATGGAATACGCATTAGGCAGGAGTTTAAACTGCTTATCCACCATGAGAAAATACATGCCTAATTTTGGGGGATAATTATAAAGGATATGGAAATTGCTAAAAATGAGACTATTCATTCGAACGTGTCTGTTTCAAATGCTAACACACTGAGCAAGTTTGAGAAGCTGCCCAGTTTTGCTGTTCCTCAGTTTCTTCAAAGTAAGATGAAAGGGGGTGCGTGTGGTGGTTCCCGCCTCTAATCTCAGCACTTTGAGAGGCCAGGGGGGCAGGTCACGAGGTCAGGAGATCGAGACCATCCTGGCTAACACGGTGGAATCTTGTCTCTACTAAAAATACAAAAAAATTAGTTGAGCATCGTGGCATTCACCTTTAGTCCCAGCTACTTTGGAGGCTGAGGCAGGAGAATCGCTTGAACCCAGGAGGTAGAGGTGGCTGTGAGCCAAGATTACACAATTGCAGTCGAGCCTGGCGACAGAGCAAGGCTCCATCTCAAAAAATAATAATAATAAGATGAAAGGATGGAACTAAAAAGGTAGGAGAGTTCTAACTCACCATCCCCCAATCACACAAACACACACAACTTCACCTCCCTCGATGTGTGACTGAAACTATGAGACCACTTCTAACCCGCAATTTCTATCTCTATTACAATATATTACCTTTCTATTTAAGCATAGGGCTATCACCTGATGTTAGTGGCACAATTAGGCATCACTTCAAGTTCTGTCTTTTGTGATTTATGCTCGGGAGCAGTGGCAACGTAGGTTAAGGCTGGAGAAAACAGCTAGCTTTTTATGTTGGTGGCATCACTGATTCACAACGGGATTATGGAAACGTTGCAGTTCCTGAATGTTCTTATCAGCAGGATAATGATCATTCACAATCACGCTGACTGGCACAGGAATTGTTTTGAATGGAGGAATGCACAGATGATGAATGTAAGCTTGCAGACAGCCATTAAAAAATCAGGAGGACTCCCTTTGTGCACAAACAAGGCATTACAATACTTCCTGTCTCTCAGAGGCTAACGCTGATGTTTGTAGTGTAAGAATGAACGGCTGAGACAAATAGCACAATTGTAATTGTCCATCTGACAAGCTTGTTAACACCTCTTTTCTGTCTGCCCTGAATTACGCATATCCGTCTTATGATACTCAGGACACACAAAGCTATCCCCAAAAAGTTTGTCATGTCAAATAAATATTTCCCAAAGAGGAATAACTATCACAGTTTCTTTTGGCTGTGACTCAATCCCCAGCTATCAGTTATTTTTATTTCTGCTCTTACTATCCCTGCTGCTTTT